CAACTCACACACTTTTAAGGTTTGGATTTGGTTTGCTTGCCTTCCAGCCTTCGGTGCCACAGCATCTGACATCTGGCGCAGCTGGATCGCTTAAACACGAAAGATCAAACGCTTCAAAGAGCCTCAGAGCGCTTTTGTTCTCGGAGTCAGGTAAGGTAACACACTTAAAGTAACGTGTGGTACCCACGGTAAAAATAAGCTAATGAATGCAGTGTGTTTAACAGAAATTTAAGGCAGGTTCTGAGCCTGGATGACACAGCTCAGCCAGGGGTGCAGGGGCAGGCAAGGTCTCAGCGTACTTACCTGGCGAGATGGTAATTGCACACACGTTCAAAAACAGGTTTCAAGCTTTTATGTGGTGTTTTAATGTCGCACATGCAGAGGAAAGGTGATGAAACAAGATTTTAAACTCAGTAATTAGCACTGTACTAATATTGGTGGTTTAAATTAGTTAATAATTTTGAAGAGGAGCTCTAATTTAATAGCAGAGACACAAACCCAGGTATTCCTAGGTGAGGATGGCTTCCCTCCAGTTGTATGCAATATAATTTTGTCTTCATTTATACTGTATAGGTAAAGGCCACTGCAGAATGTGGCTGTGTTTATAGGATTGCCCTGGATACCTTCAGAAGAGACAGAAAAACATCATGATTTACAAACAGGGTAGGAAAAGAAAGTGAAAGCTCCCCTCCCTCCCCCATCCCCTGCTAGTTTCTTAAAAATCAATTTTCATGTGATTTGAAAACTTCTGATTTTGGTACAGTTCTTAATTTGTTTGGTTTCATTTCTGCTTTTAAAATTCAGCCTTCTAGAGACTTTACACTGATTTCACAGATGGCAGCTGACATTGAACAGAGCTATAAGGTATAAACCTAAAGACCATCCATTTCCATGCATGATTAAATGCTGACTCAAGGTACTGCAGCATTTTTGATCCCCAAAGTTTAATAAAATTCAGGACAGGCAATAAGGAGTCGCAGACAAATTAAAATTTATTGAGACAGACAAAAATGCAACTATTTCAGACTACAGTTAAGCATTTACAGTTAACCAAAGATAGCAAAATGCTCACATTCCACTTAACTCCTTATGGAAAAAGCATTCAGAATTTACTATGCAATTCTACTTACTATGACAGCCTACATCCATCTACAGTAGGGACATCAAACTGAAACACGTAATATTTGGATCTCTCCTTACAGATCTACACATTTAACAGTAACAGACATCAACAGCATTGAGAAAAGTATAAAAAGACCAAAACCCACCTACTGTAGAAAGGGCTTTTTGATGTATATTAACTGTACAAAGCGGTCTATGTGTTAAAGGAACTTGAATGGCATACAGAAGGGACTGCAGTAAAAGCCAACCAATGTAGGAAGCTAAGCTTGAGCGATCTGGTGGTCTGTATCAAGTGGTGACCTTAGATCTATGTCACTTGCTGCTCGAGGGGAAAAATGCTACAAAACTTCTAATATCAAAATATTCCCATGCCAGAAATGTACACTGAGACTAACAGACTAGGCTGGAGAGGCAAAGAGAAGCATCCACTAACAAACAGTGTTGTTTTAAATATAAACTTTATATTTTCAATATAAACTGTAGAATAAATATTAAATAAACTCTTCAAATGGTTTAAAATAATAGTACAGAATAGCTTAAAAAAAGGCAAAGAAAAGAAAAAGGATTCTTTGTGTTCACAGCAAAGGCCAGTAACGACCCAAAAAACCCAACTGTGCTGAAATCTGAACTCAAGGAGATTTTGATTTAACCACAGTAGTTAAAAGGACACCTTGAAACATAAAGCAATGCCGAACAGTATTTCATAGTCTCTAATATGAAAAGAAAATGAGATTAAAAATTGGTTTGCGTCTCTGAAAGGATGGGACAACTCTGATTCCATTTTTCATAGGGAGAAAATGTTTGGAAGGTCAGTGACTTGACTTGATGCAGATGGGAAGTCCTGCTTTTAAAAAAAAAAAAATAAAAGAAAGGAATTAAATTAAGCTGGAAGCTAATGAAATCCTTCACAAAGCATGAAGAATGGAAGGGGCTTGATTGGGGAGAGCACAGGTTCTTGGTAGAATTGCTGGTTTCTTTTAAAGAAAGAAAACATTTTCTTAATGCATCTCGCCAAGTGGGACGTGCACACACACATATGTGTGTAGAAATGTAAATATACGGACACACAGAGATATACACACATGTATGTATAGACTGCGGATCCTCCAACCACCGGGGGATGCCAGTGGATCACAAAAAAGGGCTTTGCTGAGTTGCTTTGAAAGCTTTGGAAACTTGCTCTTGAAAGCAATCCATAGGCTGAGCTGCCCTTCCAAGCCCCACAGCCTGCCTACCCTGTTCTGACGTGGCTGTGACACCTTGGGATTCGACACTACTCCCTTCATCCTCTCTTGGAGTTGTTCCCAGCTGGGCTAGTCAATAAAATCCCATTTTTCCAATGCTCGCCCTGATTCACAAGAACATTTGAACAACTGACTGAACGATTGCCTGGCTCGGGGTGTCTTCCTGAATCGAAGCCACAGGCTCAGAAGGGGTTGGTGGTGTATATATGTGTGTGTTTGTGTGTGTGTGTCTGTGCTCGCAGAGGTCAGCTGAACCAGCCAGAGCATCTGCCCTCTCGCCCGGCTGGGCACGGAGCAGTTTGGTACCCACAGCATGTTCGAGCTGGCGACTCCAAGACAGACATTTGAGATATAAAACCTGCCACCACGGATTTGGAATAGCAGCATGCAGGAGGTCACAGGGAGGAGAAGGTCAGTGGTGCTGAGAAATGGATGGTGGTGGCACGTCTGCTCACATAGGCTGAAGGATGTCCGCGTTCACTTTTAAGGACTTGTTTAAACAGCTTTTATTTAACCATTTTGCATGTTTGCACGTGACACAGGAGGGGTGCAACCTTGGACCCTGCAGCTGCCTGCAAAGGCTTGGGGGGCAGGCTTTACCCTGGTGAGGTGCTGGCCAGGAGAAGGGATTTACTGTGGGGCCTTTGACGTAAGGCATACAGGGTTCCAGGATAAGCTGTTGCAAAGGGACATAGGACTGCAGAAAAAAACTAGTTGTGTGCAGAGAAGGAGTCCAGTCAGAGAACAAACATAACTCTGATTGTGGACCTCTGTTTTATGTCAGAGTGAAAGGGCATCTCTGTGCCTTAGGCAGGTCCTGCACAGGTAGACACAGAGAGAATGGGTTTAATTAATACAATACCTTGAGAAACAAGGTGCTGATGGTGTCCAACTGCTTCTCACCAAATCATACTGTTTAGGGAAACAGAAACGCTGGTTGTATCTGTCCCTTTTGCAAGTCAGCACTGTTTTCTAAGAAAGGCAAGTAGAAAAAGCGTGTGTGTGCATGTGCTGGGCAGCTCATGGACAATGATTTTAAAATAAATTTTCAGTAGCTATAGGGAAACGAAATGGACTCAAGGCAGGGCAGACTGCAGGCCTTTTGCAAATGACTGTGATGGCAGATTTTTGGGAGGCTGCGGGGGCGTGAAACAACACAGGACAAATTCCTCACGCTTTTACACATCCTTCTGCATTAATAACAATTATGCTGGCTTGCTCTTTGTTTTCAGGTCATTGATCTAGATAAATAGGAAATGGAAGAGGAGAAAACAACTGAGCCCCTGCAACACATGGTGTCTGAAAGGAGTTCCTCTTCAGTACTGCTCTTGTGATCACGTCTGAAAGCAGAGGTACTACCCCAAGGGGAGGGGGGCTGCAGAGCTCTGCCAGGCTCCACAGTGGGCATTGACTTAGGAGAGGGCTGAGGACCACAGCTCTTGAGGCAGTGATCCTAAAAATTTGACTTCTGCCAAGCAGCATGTTATTTTCTTGCTTTTGAGTAAATATGTGACCAGCCATGTTTTGTCTCCATACTGTCTCCAACTCTATATCCAACACTAACTGTGAGGGAAAAAAAAAATTGATCTAATTAGTTTTCTATGTAATGAGCACATTTTTTATTCTGCAAAATAACTCACAGGCACTGGTAAAATACTTACATCTGCCTCCTAATGCAAGAGCGGAGTTAAGGTACCTCTTACTGTTTCTAAAACCAGCAAAAATAATAAAAGGTCACCACAGCACATTACTGCATGAGAGAACTGCAATGGGAAAGGACACAGCAAATAATGTAATGTCAGCACGCTGGGATACAATTGCAGAGCTGTGGATGAATAGGGGGAGATGCTGAGGGAATCACATACTGTATTCTAATATTATTCTCTTTTACACGTGTGAATTACAAGGGTTCAGCCTGTCGCACTGAGAAAGAAGTTACACTTTTGAAATATGACTACCTAAAGTTGCTTTTTTAAATAGGCCGAATAAATATTAACTATTTAAAGAAACAACAGCTTATTACTTTGGGTAGTTAGTGTCTTTGACAACTTTGGAATGAGAGATTGCTTGGGGTAAATGAAGAACAGGCAGATCCGTAGGTGTGAGCATGAGGCAGAGGCTGCCTGTGATGTCAGTGCAACTCAGTGCAAACGAGTATGGACGGAGGATGAGGAACAGCTACGGGGGTGGTTATGGTGCTGCAAATTCACAAAACACTCTTTTCTCCAACGCTTTGAAAGGTGGCTGGACCCTGTTCCCTGTCTGTAGGATCACGACCATGTTGCTGCTTAACCAACGCTGTGGTGGGAGCTTTGCCTTCGGTGTCGGCTGGACTAAGCCTGTGGGACTCATTCGCAGAGAATGTAAGGAAAACAAAATCTCTTTCTCATTAAAACCCTGATGCTGGGGAGCCAGAAGTCACTATCCAGAGAGACTTATTCTTTGCTGGAATGTAACAAATATGGACTAGAAAATGAAGCACCTACTTTTCCTTCTTCACAAAAGAAAAAGAACTGTTTCTGATATGATCCAGGTAACAATTTATGTCACAAATTGTCTACAGCTGGTAACACGAGAAGGGCTTCTAAGCCTTGTGTACCGGTTTGTTGAGCCCCTTCCACAATTCATTCACAGGATATATTTCATAAGTTGTTCAAGTGAGGATTCAGACATGTAATGTCAGTGAAACAAAACTCATTGCCCCTGTGGAGAGAACAAAAATCCCTCAAACCAACTGAACAAAAGCTGTATTCCAAACAGTCCTTGCTGGGGGAAGAAAAAAAAAAAAAGGTTTTCTTCCAAATTAAATAGACTATACAAAATTAAACTCAGTAGAGAGGGAATATTTGTGCCAGGTACTTTCAAGATACAATTGCAGAGATATGATGTGACTTGCAATATTGTGCAAAATGTGAGTCCTCAGTATGATGGGCACTACCATATATAACCAATTTCATCATCCTTATCATCATCTTCGTCTTCATCATCCTCATTAGCTGCTCTTACATGAATCTTCAGTTTCCCTTCTTTGTCTTTTTTTGCTGCTTCAGGTTCCTCTTCCAAATCATCCAACAATACAACAGATCCACCACTGCCAAAATCCCCTGAGGTTTCTTGCTCTTCTTCTGAAACAGGTGAGCAGGAAAGGTCATTCCCCCACATGACACCAAGTCCCTCGTTCAACACTACCCTTGTCATTCAAGCTACTGTCATTTGCAATGTTACTTTTAAATTAATTGGTTCAGCTATTCATGAAACGACCTTTAAATTTCAATTTTCCTCCTGCACCAGGATAAAAAATTTACTTGCATAAAAAGCTATGCAGTGCCCTCCTCCTAGAGGCTCAGCTGATTTTAAGGAGAGTACTGACTCAGTTCCCATGCCTGCAGGGCAGAAAATCATTGCTCGTGTCTAAATCCTTTCATCCCATCAGGACTATGTAAACCAGGCTAAAAGTATTCCACCACCTGATTTTATCTGAGTGTGCAAATGTGCAAATGTGGTTGCTGAACCTAACCTGTGTGATGTGCTTCTGGGCATCTCAGACCTTCTAGGTCTCTGCTTTTTCTGCTTCTTCTCGAAGAAGAAAGCTGCATCCACAACCATCACCGAAGCACTTTGAAGGGGTAGAGCTGAAATTGCTTGCCTAGGATTAACAGCTAATTGGTGATTTCACATACCTACATAATACCGTCCTGTCAGCAATTTTATTAGGGTTGGTTGTTAATTCATAAAATTTTGCACATTTAGGCCTTCCTTTGTGTGGAAAGACATTATTCATGAAGTCCCAGTAAATGTGTGTTCCAGCGTATACAGAACAATATATTTAATAACTGTGCATAGCAATCCCATAGCCTTAATTTTAATATTAATCAGTACGTTTTGCAAGCTGATAGTAAAAATATCAGGTTATTGCCTGTTAACCTCTGCTGCACCCACCCCCTCCAAGTCCAAAGGAGCAATACATGTATAAGGGCCCGATTTGTAGTCTGAATAAGAAAATACAGGAGCACTTTGAACACGGGTAGTCATGTTTTCCTGTTGTCACTTTTGTTATCGTACTCCATCCTACAGCAATGGCAGGGTGTACAACAGTGTTAATTCCTTTGTTGTCTGAGGAAAACACATCATTACTCACCACAACTGACTGTCCCTTGCTTTCTTGAGCCGGGTATCTCATTCCCATACTTATCAACGCACCAGCACTGCCCTGTGCTGCCATGGCACTGAGTGGCTTTGTAATAACCTTCTTCGTTGCACCGTGGGATGAAAGTACCTGAATGAAATATAAGGTATAATCAGTAATGCAAGCCTCTGTAGGAGGAAGCAGGTATACAGGGTATTATGAACTTGTCACTTATTTACATGAAGATCTTTACAATGCTGGCAAGAAAATACATGTGATTATCTGGTGCTGAAACGGGAGCAGAAATTATACGTGATTAACTATTTTCTGCTACCCTGGTCACTGCAGAGTGCATAAACGCTTGTGCATTTATAGCACATGGACGGTGATGGCATACGGTGCTAGAGATAGGTTCAGTCTGTCCCCGAATGATTAATATTCCCACAGTGCCTCTTTCAGATTTAACTTCTGGTTTTAAAGTTTTCTTCCCAACTGGATTATTACCCCAACTTCATTAATTCTGCATTTCCCTTCCATTTGCACTCCTTCAGTGTTTATCATATGAGTCTTTCCACAACACTGTAATTATCCCTGGAAGGTATCTGCCATCTGCTTGCTATTCATACTAATCTCAAGCACAACTTCTGACTTACTGAGAGTTCACATGTATAAAAGGAGAAGTAATGCCTAGGCTTTACGGAGAGGGACAACAGGATTTGAAGTCAATAAGTCTTTGGATTTCAAGCCCAAGATTTGTCTCACAATAAAACCAATATAGTTCAGCCTCGTAGAGTGTGGTTCGTCCTAGCTTCTGCAGGCAGGGAAGCTCTCAAGAGAAAAACCGTTTTATTGTTCCCACCGTTTTCAGCAGATAGAGCAAATGCACTTCAATATGAAAAGCCGCCTTGTCCTTCAAGATGAGTTAGCTTTCCTCCCAGGAGAGGTCAGTACAGTCACTTTCCCTTCTTTGCTGATTGCTTCAATTTGAAGCACAGCAGAAACCCACCCTTGCCCCCAAATTTCTTGTCTCAAATGATTTTTGAGAAAGTATTTTTCTCCTCTGTCAAAGATACCAGTGATTTACTGGTCATGCAGTAACTTTTTTAACTGGTTCCACGTGTATAGCATGTCTTCAGACAGTTCATGTGTCAAAGGGGCCGTTTCCACTACATTTTTCGCAGAAAAAACAAATGAGAAGGTGCTGCCCAAATGACATGAGATTTCCTATATAAGAGACGTAAGAGTGGAAGTCAGGCCACCTCAGACACATACACACGTCTACATAACGTGAATCCCTGAATTTCCAAACTCATCGCACTGCAGATCTTGTCTAATGCTTGAGTGCTGCAAATGTGGGTCTGGAAAATGAGCAAAGAAACCTCTGAGCACCCGCAGAAATCTTTGCATATCAGGTCAGTTTTGGAGACCACATCCATTACTGACAGTACTTTAAATAATGTCAAAGCACGAGCTTATAGCAGTTTGTTTATAGGTACCACCATTATGTTCATGTACAAATGCAATATACTGATGACTACCAAAGACTCATTTTCACTATTTATTAAAAAAATGGTTCTAATAACCATGTATATGTATTTGCCTTTGCAGGTTTTTGTAATTTAACGCTCACTGTTCAATCCTGTGTTTCAATACTGGCTGAGAAAGTTTATTTTGGTATATTTATGCTCACATGCGCTCTCTTATAAGCACTTCCAGGTGTTTATCAGCCTGTACAAGACCTTGGGAAAAGTGCTCAGGTGCTGATTTCCAGCTGGTGTAAATCAGCATAGCTGGACCAGTGTCTCCAGGGCTCCCCTGTTACATCAGATGAGCATCTGGCTCCAGGGAAGAATCAAAGGGGGAACCTCAGTGGCATTACGGGGTGAATAGAAAATGGCTTCTGCATTTTAAACCGTCTCATGCTTTCTCTTTTCCTTGGGCAATGCAGCCTTTCCCTCCTTTGAAACAGGCCTTTTTGTAGAGTTTCATTGTGTTTCTTGTAAGGTATTAAAATGTTCCACACCGACTGTAAAACCCAGAGATTTAAAAATAAATTAATGCCCAGGCTGACTGCCAGCATAACTATGTGTGGAAGGGCTTCACACCTTGGGTCACAGTAGAAGGTAGTTTTCCATCTGCATGGGAAGTTTCTGCCAATTTGTATGTAACACTGAAATATTTAGCTACGTATACTGAAGTCACAGTATTTGCCAGCCCTCGGAGAGGAGAATACAGCACGTCCTTGCCAACGCGTTAGGTGATCTGATGGGGACAGAGTCACCTGGAGCAAGTGTTGTACAGCACGATGCTTCATCCTGCAAATCCTACACAGATCAGCCCATGTGCCCATTAGAAAGAAACGCTGGCTATAAGCTCTGCTATTCTGGAGTACAGCGTCCAGAGAGCCCCTTCAGTGGGAATATTTTACCCCATGATTTCGTTTGGCAACAGGAAACATCCTCAGGGTTTGGACAGACAAAGGAGTTCACGTTTGCTCCCCAGACGTTCTTGCACAGGCAAGTGCGGAGAGGAGCGCTGGTGGGCCAGCTTTACTATTAAGCACTATTAGGTACCATTAAGCACTATTAAGCACAAAATGCCAGATCATTCCCACTGAACTGCTTCAGGCTAGTGAATCTTGCTTTCCCCATCTCTCTGTCCCATGGAGTATTTAATTATTCTATGCAAACTTGAACCGCACTGTTGCATCTATATCCTCTTTACGGATCCAGACCTATATCTCTTTTTTTTTCCCCCCCCATCATTTCCTTATCTATTTAATACTCCCCTTCCTCAGAGGACATGGGGAGAATAATTATATGCTAAAGATAGTGAAGCACACAGGTAAAAGCCTGGCAGAATTGAGTGCTAGCCAGCATGCAGCTCCCTGTACTAGTTATTATGTTAGCTGAATTCACAGGGCTGATACAGAAGAAAATAGTGACGGGAGCAGAAATTTATTACCTTAGTGATGTGGGAGAAGCATTATCAGGCTGCACAGTTGTATGCTCTAAAAGTACACTCTCTGCAGTTAATTGTACTCTAGATAAATCTGGTAGGAAAAGATGAATAGTGCTGTTTACTTTTTAATTCAGTCCCCTGGGATGCTAGACTCAATTTGAAAGCCTCCAAATTCAACACATCTAATGGCAATGGCTTTGAAGTACTTTGTTGCAACTGTCATGCGCTTTGAAAAATATATAGAGAACAAAATATCAAAAATTGTAAATTTTTATCAATGGACACAAGTTAACAGAAATCATCTTCATGTGTACTCTCCAGACTGTAAATGCTGTGCTCTGATTGTTAGAGACAGAGCAGGAGAGAGAATAATTAAAGGCCAGTTTCTCTGAAAATATTCATCTCTATTTTCAATCTTTGTTGTTGCCACAAGTGTGATTTTTGTCACGTGTATGTTTTGGTTTCCATTTGCATGATTTTTCAGTCAGTGAAGAGAAAAGGCAATGTTTTCCACTGTACAAATAGCTATGAGATCAGATTAAAATCTCACAGACAGCTGCTGTTACGCAGGCAGACTTTCAAGGCAGGTGAAGCAAGAGTTCCTCTCTATATTATAATTTTCTAGCTTGTGCACCAACCTATGCTTGACAATTTTTGATTTGTTGAGCTTAGCCACTTTTAACCTTTTTTTTTTTTAAAATATATTTGACTAGAAGTTATTTGTGGTAAGGGACCATTCTTACTGCTTTTACTTTGTCATTTTATTCCTGCTATTGCGAGCAGATCCCAGTGACATGGTACAACTGCCTGCATGCTGTACTACCTGCAATATAGTCATCGTTTTTTCCCTGCACACCGGAACAAACCACTTATGTTTCAACCTAGGTGACATTTATTGCATTATAGCAAATCGCAGCAAAGCATAAAATAAACAGGATAGTCCAAGTTATCTATTAGGAACTGGGCTTCTTATTCTTTTAGGTGGCTTTGAAAATCACGACACCCATGAGACAGAAAACACCATGGCTTCCCCTGCCACAACATGCATTCGAACACAAATGCTAAATATTTGCTGAATGGAGCACACATAGAGCTGAGCGATCAATCCTCCCTTCGCTCCCACCGCTACGAACAGCAGGAGCTGCAACTCCGAGACATCTTAATCTTTATGTGAACTTGCTGTGGAAGGATGATGGAACTAAACCATAGTCCCCGTGCCCTTTGGGAATGTTTATTCTCATTTTAAACCAAAGAGTCCTGGTTAGGATTGTTTCCAAGGTACCTGAACTTTGAGTACAAAGAGCAGTGGCGTCTGGGAACAGCAGGGTTTGGCAAAGATGAGCTTTGCAGAGCTCTGTTTGCAGGGTCTGCTAAAGAGTATGTAGACACAGACTAAAATCTGAGCACAGCCTGAGCAGCAGACTGCAATCCGAGACGCATTTCACAGAGTCCTCTGTGCTGCTGATAGTGATGCTGGAAGAACCGGACGTGGGTTCCCGACAACGGGCCTGGCCTGACAGCCTGGGTCTGGGGTAAACCAGACTCCCCAGAGGTGGAATGTTGAGCTTTCCACGAGCAGAGACTCGAATATGTACTGATACGCCTCATGTGCTTTGGACCTACGTACACGAATGCACTAGGACTGAAGGTTCAGTAAAATACCAACCACGTGAATGCGACGCTACATGACACTGTGACTTTGGGGTATGGAACTAGTTACCTTAAATTTACCCAGTTCAGCAACCTGATTTTTTAGCAATTAAATGGGGATTTATTTCACCTAATTTTAGATATCCTTTAGAGCAGTGTAAGTTATCAATCAATCCAGGCACCCAGTAGTCAACAGAGAGAGGGGTGGGCATTATCGCATCGTACAGCATGGAGCATCACACAGGAATAGCTAAAATGAGATGATATGGATTCCTGTTGTCATGTACTCAGAATATACTGAAATATTTTTAAGGGTGGTTAGTCAAAAATGAACCCTAAGGAATACACCCGATGCCCCTTAACTGGAGGAAGACATTAACCCGCTGGCTATGCACTGTGGCACCTTCAATCACCCTTTAAAATGGGAGGCTTGAGTATCAAGCAGCCTCTGTACTTATTCTGACCTACGAGGTGATGAAGGCAGTATTAACCTCTGTGCAGACAAGGCTTTGCACTTCTGGAGAGCTGTAAATTAGCTCTGAACCCATTGCCATGCTGACACCTGTTCCGTACGTTGCCATCTCATTATTTGTTTAATTTCGTAGTGTCAGGCCTACACTCCGTGGTGCATATTCCCGACTCAAAACATTAGTCTCTAATTGAAAAACCATTACTGCATATAAAGTTACAATAATCACAGAAGCTTTAATTAGTTGAGTAAATGAATAGCAAGTAATCGAACTTACCCAACAGACTCTTCCCTCTACTTAGCTTTTGAATTCTATTCATTTCGTTCTGGCAAGGAAGACCTAAAATATAATGTTTGAGAATCAGTTTCCAGATGGTACGGGACAGACTCTGTAATGACTGGCTTCACTACTGACATGAAATGTAGACTACTGTACACCTGGGAACGAAAGAAGCCCATATGCTGGTACTGTACTGCAAAACAAATTTATGTCATTAGCTCCACTAATTAAAAAAAAAAAAAAAAAAAGTAACACACTGCAGTTGAGAAGAGTGTTTGGGGGCCATTTTCATTGTTAAGCCAATTTTTCCTCTTTTTTCACCAAGCTGACATAATGCCAGCGCTCTGATTTATGATTTGCTAATTGACTAATCTCTGCATTAATAAAAGAGTAAATTTTTGAGCTTTCTATCAGCAATAGAGCTTATTTCTAGGCTGTGTTTACGGGCACTTTTTACTTCTTTCTTTGTTTTAATGATCAAGGGATGGTAACACACTTCATCTGTGACATTAAACATTGTCACACAACGCCCTTTCACACTGGTGCTGGAGAAAAGAGCTTTTTAACGCAGCTGACAGCCAATTACCAAACTATCCCTATAAGCAGATCAATCAAACCTGCAACACAGGGAGACCCAGACAACATCCCCCCCGGTACTGCAGACCGCACAACTCACCGCCCGGCTTCTGGAAGCAGTAGCACCACTCGTTGTTGGAGAGCTTCCCGTCCTTGAAGGAGTCGCAGGAGTTGAAGAGAGGCTTGACGCATGGCTCGTACTTATCCAGGTAAATGGCACTGATCTCCGAGGGATCCAGCAGCAGGTCATAGTTCATGTCAAGTTTGTTGAACATCCAGCCTAGGGAGTCCTTGCAGATTGGCAGTATGCTGGTGTCAAATCCTGTAAGAGGAGAGGCAGATATCCCCAGCTGAGTCCAAGCACACTCACTGCACAGGAATCATTGCTAAGCTCCACGCCTTGCTAGTGCTTTTTGGCTGGGCTCTGACCATTAACCTGACTTGTCCAAAGCAGAACAAAATTCTAAGACTGCGTAAAGCTTAAAACCCAAGCCCAGCTGCAGACTAGAGCACAACTCACACTCTGTAGGAACTGTGGGGTGGGGAGGGCTGAGATTCATAGCCCATTACTGTAATTCAAAGTTGTTTCTACTGAAAAAATTGTCACATATTTTTTTCTTCTGTCCTTGGTCCAAGTGGCTTGGCTTTGTTCCAATAAACTGAAACGTGATGAGAAAAGGCTGAATCCAACGTATTTTCAAACTAGACTGAGCCTGAATTGCGATTTAAATCCTGTTTCCCAGACCTGTTTCTAGTTCCCTGGTCAAATTGTTTCCTACTGTGCTCTCACCTTCCACCTGTCATCCCAGCTTTTCACTCTTCAAAACCCTGCCTCCTGCGCTGGACAACGTAATGCTTTGATCTGGGCTGTCAGCTGTCCGAGGGAGGCAGAGGGAGAGAAGGGATGAAACAACTCTTTGCTTGCACCACTCCGAAGCACGGCACTGCTTTTGCTGGCAGCTCCAGAGCTGCACACGCTCTTGTATGCCGTACCAGCACTATTCCTTCCCGAGGCCTCCGGCATGGTGCAGCAATACAGGATTCTGCTCTTCCAGCGCTTTGGAAACCATCGTCGTCATTCATTTTAATAGCCCAGATCCTTAGAAGACTGCAGCAGCGTTTCTCACAGAAAGACCAAGTCGTGCATATAGACACCCACGGCGTCTATGAGCTACGTGTTCCAGTATTCTGCAGTCTCCACACCAACAGTGGCATCGCCTTCTTTCACAAACAAGACAGGGCACTATACATCCAAACTCTCACTATTTTTCAATGCTTGGTACAAACATGGACTAATTTCCAATTGTCTATGACATGAGTATATTTGTAAGGCAGAGGTAATAAATCTGATAACGAGGAGATTGGTTTCAACAAGGACTCGGAAGCATGCATACATCAGCTGTGGATTTACAGGCACAGAGGGCACCTGGACCATGCACCCTGAGCACCTCGTGCTCACGCTGTGTCAGCTGTGTGCAGTAACCTGCCTGTGCATTATTCATTCTGCTACAGACCACGTGGAGAAGCCTGATGGGCTTTTTCCTTTGAAAGAGGTCAAGCTTAGCCTTATTTGCTGAACGTGTCACGTCCCATTTCAGGATGCTGCTTTTTTAAAATGAATCCCAAGATGTTGCTGGAATCATGCTGACTGTTTGTCCGAGCTCTGCAGCCTACCTGCTATTTTAAGTACTCACCCAAAGGAAGGCAGTGCTTTATGCTGGAAGCTGTGCTTTTTGTATGCAGCTGCTGCTGAAGGATGTCAGTGACGTGGAGGAACAATCAGAAGGGTTAACTAATGGGAAGGTTTATGTCGTTCATAATACATGTTTCTCTAAGAAAGGAAGAAGGTAATACCATTTCCTCGGGGCTAGAGGCAGCTCAGGCAGGAAAGAGAGAGATCATGCTGAACATTTCATCACTTTTTTTTGTGCTGTTATCTCCTCTAACATTATCTAATCGAGTTTGAGCACAGTGAAAAAGAAAAAGGCTGTGTGAATAGATGTAGGGAGGAAGTCTGCTTGCCTTGCTGAAGCAATTAGGACTATTGACTTCAATTATTTTATTCATCTGAAGAAGACAAGCAGGATTTGGTCACTGCACAATCTCTTGTTGAGTGGAAGGATTTAAGAACCCTTGACTTTGCCTTTACAAAGCACCGAGGAGGAGGACATGCAGTCCTGCCTTGTGCAGGGATATGCTGTGCCTGATTCCCCACCACGGGGCAGGTCAGAATAGTCCGACAGGCAGGGGTGGATCACTCAATTGCGTTGTGGAGCTGGGATCACTACATACTTCCACCCATCCCAGTTTAACAGCTTCCAGGGGAAAACTAGCTGGGTTTCACTAGATGCTCTTTTCCTGCACAGATCCTCTCCCTGATGATGGTCTTTACACCCTGTTGTGGCACTCACTGCTGGTACAGTGAATAACTACAAGGTCTGTAGTACAACCGGTTGAGAACGGTACGTGTTGCTCAGCCCTGTGGGGCTCTGAAGGTCACCTAACTGGCAGGGATGACGCAGGAAGGAGGAGATGAACTTGCCCCTGACAGTGTCTGTGGATTATTTCTGAGTCTTGTTTTCCTCCCTGCTGGGAAGTCTTTATCTGTGTGTACAACATGCATTCAGGGATACAACAGCAGCGTGCCCTCACTACCGATCTGCCCGAGCAGATCACAAGATAGTGACTGATGTGAATACGAAGCTGCTCTGTGACATTCCATCAGGGCTGGGATGCAAGATACAATCACAAAAGGTCACTTACGAAGACAGTTAATTACATTAGTTGAAGAGTTTTTGATTGTAGTTTCCCATAAGCAAGGGAGCGTTCACTGTTGTGACCAGAGTTGCAGATTAGGCTTATTATTAAGAGGCTGTATTATTAAGCAGTGCTGGATTATTAGACACTGTGGTCTGAAAGTCTTTGAATATTACAGCAGTACGAGTGATGGAAAGCCCTTAGATAGATGGTTATTATCAGTGAAAAGGTTAATTCTTTAAGTGTCCCTCGCTACGCGGTTGAAGGTGAATAGTCCTATCTACCACCACTTCGTATTGTCTCCTGTTAAAAGCTACCGCCTGTAAATCATCTTTGGCAGCATTGCAACTGCAGTCCAAACCCAGCAATCCTGGATGTGCACGGCACCCAGGAACAGGACTGAAAGCGTGCTCTGAGTGTGCAAGGCAGGCTCTGACTGACTGTGCAACCAGGGCAGCTGATGGAAAATGGTTCTTGGAGCTCACCTTCATTGGGAGCTCATTGTGCTCCCATCAGCTTGGTGAGGCCAGGTGATGTTGAATGAATTAACTCCTTTTTGGAGTCTTTTGATATACTTGCTTGTAAGTATGATGCAATATGCTGGATGAAATAAATCACATACTGTAATTCTGTCTGGAGGGCTTGGCTAATAGGCTGGACTGCTAGCACAACAGACCTGGAATAACAGTAATCTCAGTGAGGACTTGCCTGCGTCTTCCTGAGCATCAGCTCAGCGCTGCAGTGCCTACGGTGAGGAGCAAGAGAAGGGTGCAGGTTCCATAGCCCTCCTGCTTCGGCTCCTCGGCACAGGCTGCCAGTTGTGGCGGGCTGTTCTGGTTTGGACACCTGCTCACAAGGACCTGGATTGAGACCATCATGGTTCTCGTTCCGACTGACAGCTGTTGAGCATCCTAACAACTTTCATTCGCTACAGAGCTGGAAGGAAATCAAACCGGTGACCTACATGTAAAAGTCTCATATCCCATTAATACATAAAATGCTCCACCTCCTCTGAATTAAAATGGAATTAAATTTTAAAAAATCTTTAAGTGAAAATTCTAATTAAAAATAAACACATCTTCTGGCACATAACATTATTTCCCCCCTTCAAGAGTTGACTTACGTGAGCCAGTTTTATTTTATTAAAGTATACTACAATTCAATTAACAGGGGAATAATTAACCTAATTTCCTCCATCACTTACAATAAAGGAAGGAGGAGAAGAAATGTTTCTCAGAAAACATCCTTTATATTGCATAGATCTCTACCAAAAGAAAACCAACTCCCACTGCAGCCGAAGAGACTATCTAGATACAAGGCGGCAATTATCAACAGGCTCAGGAGCAATTTGAATCAGGTCTTAGTACCTAATTAGTTTTATTATTTCCTTATGTCAAAGCATGTGCCTGAGTTGCTATATTATTTATTGAGATTTCCAATGTACAAAACCTGCAGAAGACAAAGTTCCTGGCCTGCGGTGCTTTGCTGGGACCTGGCAGATAGCTCACTGAACGAAGGGTTAGATTTCAAACACAACAATCTGCACTCATCCTTTTCTGTTCAGGATTTTTTTAAGAAGTGTACCAATTTCCTTCACCTGGGGGTGAACTTAATACACTCAACAAGCTTATTTACACTCATAATAACATCTTGCAAATTTAATGTAGCATAGAGAAATCTCTGCTGGAACACCTTCTCTAGACAGCTGATGTGTCCGAGGCATCACAGCCACCGCATCCCACCATCTGTTCCTTTCACTGCCACAGGGGGATACCCAAAACGGATCACTCGGAGGATGTGTATGCCTTTTAAGACTCTACAGGCATGACCAAACCAGTTCAGGTTAATGACGTGATCAGCCTGGTGAGGAGGGCAACACGTGCAGGGCAATAAGGGAAGGGCAACGTGGCCATCAGAGCGTATTTCCAGAGCTGCGTGTGTCCTGTTTGCCAGGATTCACACAAACTCCTTTTTTCAGGTTGGGGTATGTGAGCATTTCTTTGAATTCTGAGCCCTGTTTAAGATGTCTGTCATTTTTACAAATGTTTGAAGTTAGAGGAAGCCAGATACTGCTGTCCTTACTCTAAGAGTGTTTTCAGTGCTACCAGAGAGAATTGGAGCTGCAGAATTTGGCGCATGCAGATTAATTAATGAATACCATAGCCTACTCTTAAAAAGAAAAACAAGCCCAAGTTTTGTAGCATTCACAAATGATTTAGGTTTCAACTCAAAGTTTCTTTTTTTTTTTTTTTAACTGACATATAAAAAAATAAGAAAATGTGCCAAACTAAGTCAACAGTCTAAAAATGAACATTGTCGAGATCAAGTGTTTAAGATCAGCAAGGCAGCCTTTCATATAAAAGCTGCCAGGAATCAAACTAAACTAAAAAGAGATAACAGCTCCTCTGTGAATCAGAGCAAACTGCAGAATTACCAGGAATGTTTTGCTCACTGAAATTGCTTCAGCAAAAAAAGAAAAAAAAAGACCCAACACTTTCAGGAATTAATTTGGACTTTGGCCTTTGATAAGGTCCTCATGAGCAGCTCACAGGTCATCTGCATGAAAAGCATCCTTTTGACAATCTGATAAAATGAGATTTCATGGGTTTCTTCTGGGCCTAAAGGACTTCAGTCAAAGTTTTAGATCTCTGGCATTTTCTGTCGTTGGGTCTGAGATGAATTCACATCTTGAAGCCATGATTACCTGTACAACTATGGTTTGGCTTCCTCTGCATGATAATATCCTTTTTTGAAGTACCATTTAAGAAATAACTGGGATATATGGTTTTAAAGATACTGACTTTGTTGTAAATACTATGGAAAGTAAGGGACATCGGAAAAAGTCCACTTGCACAGAACACAGCTTGTTTCACCACATAGTTTTAAGATAAAATTACTTGCCATTAATGAGGTTTGAGTACAGTTTTGAGCAATGCAGCCTGTGGTATAGCCTGTCTCTTTAGGAAGAGGCAATCTATTGCTGCATAAGCTCAGAAGTAGCACAAGAGTGGCTGTGGAGACTCAGTCTAACAGTAAATGCCCATCCTGATGTGCTGGGTCTGCTCTACTGCACCTTTAGCCTCTCCAGTCTCATGCTGCGGGGAAACCAGGCACTGGGGTCAAAACAGCCGTAAAAGGGAGCACTTGACTGAACCCTTTAAATTCTGTGTGTGTGGACCCTGGATTTAGACAGCTTGTACCAGATAATCAGGGCAGTGAAGTGAAGGTGAGTCACACACCTAGATAAAACTTGAGCATCATATTTTGCATCCCAAGGGCCCATGTGTTTTGGGACATGCTATTTAAAAGGATTAATGAGTCCTTACAGAAAATAAATTTGCATCTGCTCTCTGATGAACATGACCTCTTTTGATGCTGTTATCTGAATCCTTCCTCTCCCGGGTGGGTAAATGACATCAAAATCAGTCATGTTGGCTTAACCCACAGAGAGTAAACGCCCTCTAAACCGTTCATTTTCTTCCTTTCTTTAAAAAAAAAAAAGCATCAAAGGAAGCAAAGATGGTGTTATTAAATACCTGGGGCACAATAGGTTCCAGCTTTCCACACCGTTTAACTATTCCAGCTCCATAGCTGCAAAGTGGATGGTTTTTTTTTTATTCTTTCTCTTATGTAAGATGTTAACAGGAAATTGCAAAGTAAAGTCAAAGTGGGCCTTCTCCAACATTGACATAATTTTCCCTGTGCTTGTATGCCATGTTTTTGGCTTGTGCCACAGACACTGGGTCAGAAAATGCTTGGCCAGAAACTGAGGGGTAAGCATGCGCCATGGTCTATCCCCAAAAAGCGATCTGGATGCAGTCACACTGATTTGGAGGATCGTGGAGTTTGACTGTACAGACACAAGCTAGGTCATGCTAGTTAACCTCAGGGCTTAAGAAAAGTCCCTGAGAAGTTTTATTTACTGGTATAGATGTGACCTCCCTGGCCTTCAGACAGAGTTATTTGCCTGATTAACTTGTAAAGGTCTCTCTGTCTCTGACTGCCAGTTTTTAGAGCAGTTTGAGCCAGAAAGAATACAGCCTGCAGCTCCTTTAGAAAACAGTACAGCTATTTATTTGCAGGATCGGGTCTCCTGCGTACCTGCTGGAACCTGCTTGACATGACATTGCAGGATAACAGCAGTGCTCAGCTGAATGCCCTCTCTCAGGCTGGGAAGCTGCCTACAACCCTCAACGTTCAATGGGAAAAGGTGTTTTCTTACTGCCTTGTGCCGTCTCCGGGCTCGTTGGTTTGATGACACGATTTGCATCCTCGTGAAGAGCACCAAACCAGTCTTTTAGTCGCGAAGCGAGATTCCTCAGTTCTTTGTCTGTGCAAGCTAGAAAAAAAACCAAAGCACCAGAGTGAGTCAAGAGCACCAGCGAAAAACCTTCCTCCAGACAGTTCTATTAGAAAAATATTGACTATGGTTGTAAAGTCCTCCTCATTAAGATCTCTGAAGTGAAAGAGAAGGGTAGGGAAAAGTTAAAAAAAACCCTGTAAATCATTATGAATTTCAAGTCTTGCTCAAGTACTTCCTTGGTAGCTGACATGATTTATGGTGGAAGAAGTGACACACAGAGCTGCCCACAGGTTCTCAGAGCGATGTGACGCTCCAATGTTTTTACCTTAAATGTTTTCACCTTTTAGGATTTCAGGGGAAAAGTTCTGTCAAACAGATGGGGAGGAGGGACATGCTTGCCCAGACATACTACCCGAACAAGATGCTAGGAATAATTTATAACCACATCTGGCTTAGTATAAGGCTATTATCACAGTAATAGGAAATATATACACTTATTTATAGATATACATGAGACAGAAAATTGTTACGTTGCTCTAGTTCTACTACACATGACACTTTGCCACTGCTGAAGGTTGTCAATTCTGCTTTGTTACTTAGGTAAGACATTTCTTTTCTTACAAATTTTTACTGAGAAACATCTAATTTTTCCAGAAATTTCAGCCAAGAGATTAATGTCCAGCCGAACCAAATATTTTTAAGGAAAAAAAGCTGCATTAGTCACCACCTTCTGTCAGAAAAAATATTCTTCTTTCTGTATCATATTTAGTTCTTAAAATTCACAGACAATTTTATTATTCCAAAATGCTGTGCACTCATTCTACATATTAAATGACATTACTTGGAATACAGAGCAAGATTTTATGCCATAGAGGCAGACATCCTTCATGGGGCAAGCGACAATATGTCTTCTCCAATTCACTGCACATTATAATATTCCTCCTTCCACCTTATTGAAGAACAATTGAGTCCCACAGCTTGTCTTCCCGAGTTAAACTCACTGCTCCAGTGACTGCAGTGAACTTTCTGATACCTCATGGTTGTGGTGAGTATTTTTGTTTGTTCTCACTTTTTTTTTTTTTTTGGGGGGGGTGGGGTGTGGTGGTTGTGTGCGTGTGTCGAAAATAACTGAAGTTAAAAAATAGGCCATTGTAGATTTTTCTATGTGAAAAGTTTTTTAGCACATTGGGGGTGGGGGGAGGGGAGAAAGTTTTTTGCATTTTTCTGTAAAGCTGACAGAGTTTGATAGATTTTCCTATTAAAAATTAAAATATGAAGATTACTATCCCCCTAAGGCTGAGTCTAGGTAAGGAAAAACCCAACAATTAATGTAAAATATTAACTATGAAGTTGCTTACATTACTGAAAAAGCTTAGTACTCAATTTTCTCACTTACATGAACATTATATTTTACTCACTGTAAACTATTTTATCTTTGCAAGTTAAGACAAAAATCAGAGTGATGATAAGATTTTTGAGCTCACTGTGCCATGTTTTCTACAAGGAACATTTCATGCCATTTCTGTTCTTTGGCTGTTGCTCACAAACAGTCTTTCATCAGAGAAAAATCACAACAGAAGCAAGAGCAGAATGAATTCCATCATCCTGCCTGTAACAAGCCCCCATCACGAGATGCTGCCTGAAGGGGTGAAGGGGTAGGAAGAAAACTAGTTTTATAGGTAATAAATATTCAGGAATGAACTAGCTCTAGACAGACAAGAATGATTTCTTAGTTTGTGAATTCAGATCCATAAAGAGATTCCCATCATGCTCTAATTTCAACAGGACCTGGGCACCTAAATACCCGTTAGAAGTGATGGAGATACTTTTTTCATACGGGATGGGGGATGCTGTCCTGCATCCCCTGTGGAATTGTCATCAGGTGATTTTCATCAGAAATACTTTTTGCCAAAATATTATTAGGCAACTACAGCAACATGAGAGACAGTAATAGCCATCTTTTCAATAACCTGTCTTCACAAATGTTTTCTGAGGACTGTATCGATAATCATATCACCTTCCAGAATTAAAAGCAGGCACTCTCTTTTCTTTCCTTCCACCAAGTAGCCATCTCGTCAATATTGCAAAGGAAAAAAGGAGAAATATGGTGCATAACAAGTAAGTGTTGTTTAGCCGATACCTCATATGTGACAGGTTATTCACACGTGCAGGGTATTTCACAAAGGCACCTCCACTCAAAACCGCACATACCAACACAGCTTTGACTTCTAATTACATCAGTGGGGGAAAGAACAGAGGATTCAGTTGTCCAAGAAATAAATAACTTAGTTGTATTGTGCAAACCTGATACTTATTAAATATTTATCGTGGTACATAACACCTTTAGGAAGATGAGACTGGAACTCAGGACTACAAATACCCACTCCTGTGCCTTCCTGACACCCTCATCATGCCTCTGCGTAGCTACACTGAGCTTCACAGTGCTCAAGTCACAGAGAAAAAAATAATATTAAAGACCCTCTAGGGCTGTTTTCCTTAATCAGATTTGGGTACTTCCAGATACAGTGACAACTCTAGACCACAGAAAACTGAAGTAAGCCCAGTGCTCTAAGGGACACCGCATTTGCTCTCAAACTCGCAGTGCCCTCCGGCAGCGCAGAGTGCCAGGCAGGAGCTTGGAGCACACTCGGCTCCCCTCCTGGCCTCAGCACTGAGCGGAGTTAGAGAAAAACTAGTGTCTCGGAAATGAATTTCGCAAAGTGGTCATTTGGTTTAAACTGCATTGACTGGGGTAATTTGAATCCATGCTTCTAAATCACAGTAGAAAACAGGAATGAATAAACAGTGTAAGTGGAACAGAAGTGGATTAATTAATGGTAAATCAGACTTAAAACAATTTCTCTGTATAGCCCAGCCAGCCAAACATGTCAGGATCTGTAAAATGCCATTCATAACAAAGTCATTATATTTCTTTTTGCTTGTCTGTAATGCTAGATGTGCTGAGAACCAGCTCTTACTGTGTACACGTACATTCCTACCTACATCAGTTCCCTGCTATTTACCAAGTGCTGCGATCCATGACCTGCATCAGCTTGGCTACATCACCCTATGGCTGCTCAGACAGACACAGGACCTCCTGTCACTCCCTAACAGTATTTCTCTTGATTTTGATGGAACAAGAATAGGCTTTCAGCCTTCTCTATCCCATAGGGTCCTCAAAGCCTGCCTCGTTCCCCCACTCTCCGGTCAGTCTTCAGAAATGGAGCTTGGATGGTGCTTTCTCTAGTTGTCACTGACAAGCCTGCAAAATTCCCCAGACCATGTGGATTTCCTTTGGAATTTGGTCTGAGGCATGGCTTGACAGGATACACAGCACTGGAGTTTTCTGCATACTGAAGAGGTTTTTTGTGAATAACTGAGATATTCCTTAAGTATGTTGCTTAAGGATGATTCAACTGTGGATATTATCTTGAGGTTCTCTCTTAGGACGGCAGTCTTTCTTCAGAAGCATAACTGCTCTTTCCCGAGTAAAACGGGAACCAACCGTGCTGTTAATATGTAATGAATAATAGATTTCTTCATGAGACTTCAAAAATTTAATGCAAAGTTCAGTTAAATTTCTATTCAAGGATTCCATGACCTCAATCTTACTTTCTCCCTCACATTAAAATAGAGAAAGTATTATTTTACATTTTTTTGTCTTGAATTTTATTTTAATGCTACCATGCATGGTTAAAAAGATTCTGCCTCTCTACTTAATAGAACTGCATTACATTTTATTTATTTTATTTGCATATTCTCAGATGTCTCTAAATCATTTTGAATTTGTTTGGTTTGGGACACGTTACTGTAAACATTTCAAAGTGGATTGACATTCGGAGGGCATGAGTTTCATACGGAGTCAGGCCCAGCCTCCAGCTGGGTATCCAGGAACCAGAGCTCTTAATGATTTATTTTTGGTGGTAGAGCCCATTAGTTATATATCAAACAATTAGGAAGTACAGCTCTGAGGAGCCCCAGATCTAAAATCCTCATATATAAGTTTGCAATAGTCTAAATTATAAAGCATTTTAAAGAACCCTTTTCATGCAAAATACAGTGCAGATGTACCTCTTCACTATTAATAGAAGCTTCAAGTGACATTTCCCAGATGAGCAGAATAGGGCTGTAGGAGGAATAAATGTGATAATGGGTTCCTCGCTATTTGAAGATCTATAAGGAGGGAATACGTAGGTTGCAAACAACATGGATATTGGAATGACTTGAAGCACTGATTAAAAAAACTGGGATGAAGAGAAACACCAAGGGAGGAACCTCTTCATAGCCCCTCTCTACCAACTGAAATCTGTCCACTCAACTGTCAACAGCCATTTAAACCTCTACTGCTGTGGAAAACACACAAGTGCAAACATATGCAAATATGCATTTTCACTTCAGTGCGTATTTTCTTCAAGATAGGAGAATCTGGCTTCAAGTTATTTCATACACCTTTTAAAAAGGAAAAAAAGACAAGATTTTACCCTTGTTATTTTATCGATGTCACCCAAAGTTCTGCCTTAGCAACCTTCGGATACCAGGTCCCTGCATCACATTAATTCCTGGATCCTTCATTGCTGATCCTTTTGGTGACACGCGTTGCACAGCCCACGACTTCCCTGCGTGCGGCTGGGTGGTGTTGCTGCTGGTGCCAACTGGGATGGTGAGGCAGGTTGGTTAACATCCAGCTTGTCAACTTGAGCCCGTGCCCTGCATCTGACGTGGCGGTGGCACCACCAGCAGTGGCAGAAGCTGTCACTTCTCTGAGTTACGGTAACGTGAACACAGAAGGAGGATATATTTGCTGCTGGATCCAACCAACACCCTCAGATCTGAATCTGCAGATGTCAGGAATCATCTTGCAGGATTGATTTAATAGCAAGCACTGAAAGCGCACATTTATTCCCAAGGGTGAAGCAATTGGTCCGGCAGTTATTTATTCCTAACAAACTGAAAGCACTTTTGCTAAATACCTATTTACACCAAGCAGAAAACATTAATCTGACCTAATGGAAAGCCATTAGCATGCTGTAAAGGCT